GGCGGGTCAGGAGAGGTCTGCCACACCATGTTATCACCTCCGGGGCAGGTGGGAATTGAACTCATGCGAAAGCGGCTTTAGATTCTCAGTGTTGTGCTTTAACCCGCTGCACCACCAGGGAGGGCCTCAAATGACTTTTTTAAAGTTTCCTCAAAATCAAAATTGCAGTTGATACCCTTGTAACTTTTTTTATTATGATGATGTTTATTAAAATTCTAACATTTTAGAAATATATATAAGGCAGTTAAAGCACCTCAGAGATTCAATTTTTAACATAAGGGAACGATAGAACTTACATACTTTTTTTAGTGAACAAAAGATACTGTGTATAAATGCACTAGGTCATAAAAGTTGTATGAGTACACTGATGAGATAGCATTAGCCACTTATGACTTGGCTTTCTGCTTTAATTAAGCAAATCAAACCATTAGTTTTGCTCCTCTGGGGAAATAGATTGCATTTCAGGAAGATTGTTGGTTACTGGTTGATCTGTTTTATTTTTTTTAATTTTACTAGGAAGTTTCTTTTTTTGGAAGTGTTTACATGGAGAGAGCTCCACGGAGAAGATCTGTCACACTCTGGAGTCTGCTGGATTCAGCCCTCAGATATTGTTGGTAAGGCTCTTATTGCTAGATACAGTTTGAATGTTGATGTCTTTTTTTTTTTTTGAACTATTATCTAAAACATATCTTGGAATGTACATGAACACCTTCTAGAACTGATCCAAAAATTTAGTAATCTGGTCCTTCCTGGTGGCGCAGCAAGTTAAAGCACAGCACTGCAAGTGAGCTGCAGCTGCTTTAGTGTGAGAGTTTGATCCCCAGCCCCGGAGGTGATCCACATGGCGTGGCAGACTTTGCCTGCTCCCCTTAGCAGTGTATGCTGTCAGTCTACCTGTTCTGCTCCCCACTCTGTCACTGGTGAATCCTCTCAATGCCTCTGTACCTCTGGCTTATACCCCCAGTTCTGTATACATAAATAAGTCTTTATATAAAAAAATTAGTATTCACATGTCTAAAGGTTAATATTTTCTCTCTCTCATCTCTTATAAATCATAACAAACATTCCATGGTTGGCCTAAAATAATTTATAATCTAACATGTATGCATGCATTTATAACAGAATGTGATCATCAGTTAAAAATTTCATGTTAGAACTAAAAAAGATATTAGAGAACAAAATAAACTGATATTGTCAGTTAATTATCAGATATTCCAAAACTTTGAACATTTATGTTAGGTTTAATATCTGTGGTATAACAGAGGTATTAGTACAACAAAGAATCATCTGATGGAAAAACTACAATACGAAATTTGTATTGGACAAAGGAAATTACCTACATCATCAGTTCTCTCTTTCACTAGCCCCAGTATTGTAGAGCTAGTGGTTCATAAGCAGCTTTAGTCAGACAAAAACTGAAGAATATGCAGATGGCCTTCCCTGGGTGAATGGTAGACAAACTGGTGCTTCCTCACCATGGATATTTGTCAACAATCAATTTTTTTTGAAGTAAATAACTCATTGTAACATTATGTAAGTTTCATTGTGCATCATTGAGAATCATTATGCATATCTACTACATTAAGTTCACTGAAAATCCATTTCTAGGGTTCACCATGTAATTGTCCCTTTTGTTCCATTTACCCATCCCCTGCCCCCTCCTTCCCTTCTGGTATCCACTAGTTGGTCTTACGGTCCAAAGTTTATTTTTGTTTTATTTATTTCCTCTGTTTTTCCTCTACATACCAAATGTGGATGAAATCATTCAGCATTTCTCTTTCTGACTTATTTCAGTGGTCATAATATCTGCTAAGCCATCTATGTTGTAAATGGCAGTATTTCACCATCTTTTTTAATTGACTGGGATTCCATCGTGTATACATAACTACATCTTTTTAATACATCAGTAGATGGCAGTTAGGCTGTTTTCAGTTATTAGTATTGTAAACAATGTTATAATAAACATAGGTCTATATATCTTTTTAATTTGTGTTTTTTGTATTGGGAGGAGTAAATACTCAAGTGGAATAATTGGATTGTATGGAATTTGTATTGTTGATATTTTGAAGAATTTCCATGCTGCTTTCCAAAATGTCTCTACCAATTTATACTCCCACTGACAGCAGACAAGAATCTCCTCCTCTCCACATCTTCTCTACCACTTTGTATTTCTTGTCTTTTGAGTGAAAGACAGGGGACGAAACAATGGTAAATGTAACAACTGGGATCAACCTCAAGGAAAATACGCTGCGGTGGGGGAAAAAGCTAGTCTTAAAAAGATTATACTGCTTGATTCTGTTTTTGTAACAGTCATGAAATAGCAAAGTCATAGAAATAGTGACCAAGTTGGTGGTCTCCAAGGATTAGCAATGTTGGGGGGTGATGAATGTGACTCTGAAAGGGGGTATCTTGGCCAGTGGTGTAAGGGAGTGCTGTGATGCCCATAGGCTGGCCCCGACACTGCATGCACCACAGACAAGTGAACCAAATGCCTGTCGTTAATAGTTATTGATGGGAAAGAAGACTCTGCTCTAAAAATAAAATACAATGCCCATGAATTAAAGAACTGAGTATATAAGACAAGCCCTTAAAAAACTGACTTGGTCATTGTCACAGGATCAAAGTTGGCATTAGGTGGCCCCTGGAAAGCCAAGTGCAGGGTCTTTGAGCTGTGCAGCCAGTCAGCTTCTGCCACACCTGCCAGTTCCAGAATACAGATCAGTGACCTTTCTATGAGTCATTAAATATCAGTTATTTTTCTAAAGAAAATGAACTATTACATTAAAAGACGTGTATGAGTTAGGTTTGTGAAAATTTTAAGTAAAAAGTGGTAAGTCTCAGCCCTCCCTGGTGGCGCAGCTGGTTAAAGCACAGCACTGAGAATCTAAAGCCGCTTCCTCATGAGTTCGATTCCCGCCGGCCCTGGAGGTGACCACATGGCGCGGCAGACCTCTCCTGACCCGCCCGCTGCTCCCCTCAGCAGTGTACTTTGTCGATCTGCCTGTTCTGCTCCCCACTCTGTCTCTGGTGAAGCCTCTCGCCGCCCCTTAGCCTCTGGCCTGTACCCCAGCTCTGTATGTACAAATAAAAAAATAAAAATAAAAAACAAAAAAAAAGTTGCCAAAAAAGTGGTAAGTCTCTCCCCAAAATATGTCATTAATGTCGGGCAGATGCTATTTGAATTACTAATTCCTTCTATTTTCTGTTTATTTCCTGAAATATTTTAAGTGGCAGTTTTATGTAATTCATGAAGAAATTTGTACTTGTGATCTAGATTGTGTAATTGTTTACATTTATAAAGTTTTCTAGATGTACTATACCCGTGTATTTTTCTGTAAAACTAGTCTTTGATTTAGTTGCTATTTTACTGCATTGTCATCTGTAATTCACAGAATACAGCAGATATTTTTTTTTTTTTTAAGATTTATTTATATATGTGTACAAGACCTGGGGTGTAGCCAGAGGTATTGGGGGGAGGTGGGTGAGAGGATTCACCAAAGACTGAGTGGGGAGCAGAACAGGTAGATCTATTGAAATACACTGTGGAGGGGAGCAGCAGGCAAGACAGAGGTCTACCACGCCATGTGGGTCACCTCCCTGGCTGGCGATTGGACTCGTGCTGCAGTGACTGCAGATGACCTCATAGCACTGTGCTTTAACCCATCATGCTACCAGGGAGGGCCCGACAGCAGATATTTTTTTCACAGCATTGAAAATTTCATAATTATCTTCAGTGGAATTTTATCAAGTTTTAGATTTTATAACCTAAAACAGCCTAGTGTTTTCAGGGAAAAATTAGAAAATAAGGTTCATCCAGGTTTTAAATATAGGGAAGTCTGAAAATTATTTCCTTCCTTATCTGCTGGCATTTCCACTCAGCGAAGGATGGAAGCATTGAAGATGCTATGCAATAGGGCAGTACCCTGCAAAGGGCAGAGCCCATCAGGCATTTGAAGCATCTAGTAAGCATCCATGGACTTTCTCTGTGATTCTTAGGTGAACCTTTTCACAAGTATTAGATTCTGCTTAACTTAGAATAATTAATTATATTTCCTCTCAAGATTTCTATTCTTCAAAAATCTATTAAGCGTCATCTGGTAATATCTCAATATCGATATATGTAGGTGAGGTAACATAGTTCACATTTAGAATATGAATTTACAATGTGAGTGTTCACAGAATGAACAGTATAATGTGACATTCTCTGCTGTGAAACTTTGAAAGGACAACTTACTTGCTATTTACTAGGTATGGGCATAGTTAAAAACTATATGCTGTCTTGTTTGAGTGCATGTGCAGGTTTCTGTGTGATAGTGTAATTTATTCTCTATTTTCTATATTCAGCATAACTTTTTTGAAGTTAAAAAAATTTCTATTGCTTGTAAGTGATTGTAATCAAAAATATTGTGTCACTGCATCTCCAATGACTCCTATGGCGTCCTCTAGTTCTTATGGACCTGCACACAAAAGTTAACTGCTTGGAATACTTACAGCTTATGAAAAATATGAAAGCAGTCTAAGTTATACCCAAAGATGACCTGGTTGGGAAGAGAGAACATGGCAGAGCTGACTAGGAAGAGACAGAGAAGAAGAGTTAAACAGAAGGACACAACTATTTTTTTGTGTGTGTGTCAAAATTTGCTAAAAGTGATGGTAGACCGGGGAAGTGGTTAGCTGGAGAGAAAATTAAAATAGTGGAAAGAGGGATCCAAGGTATGGCATCTGATTGTCTAAATATAATGTAATCTATTCTCACCCTTTGGGTTCCTAGTCTCAATTTTGTGAGTGCTTTAAAGTGGTTACTGATGAGGACAGGAACTAGGCTTTGACAGACATTAAGCCCACATTTGCACACACAACACTAAAGCAGAATCATTGCTGTTTGATTATGGAATTGTCGTCACTACTTCCATAGGCAGCCAGTTCTTTTAGCCTGGCTAGTGATTATAAACAGCAGTGCTGTATGAGGTGAAGAGTAAGTGCTGAAGAAAGGACATGGTCTTAGTAACTGGGGTGAGATCAATCAGGATGTTGTGTAGTAAGTGAATGCACTTGATATAATTGATTCTGTCTTTAAAAATAATAACCACTTTCCCAGCTTAAACAACTGGATCGTTCATAGACATATTGAGATCTCTAGAAAAGGCAAGTGTTTTTGTGTTAAGTATTTTTTAATACTGAAAAAATTTCGATTTGATTTCAGTCTCTGCTCCTGAGTGTCTGGCTTTCTAAGGAGAAAGATATCTTGGATCAGCCACAGTCTGTCTGCTGTCTTCATACAATGTTGTCCCTCTTGAGCAAAATGAAAGGTAGGATACCAGTGGGTGCTGAGCTTAGCTTCTCAGGAATTGAGCCACTTGCTCTTGGGAACCTAGTGTAATGTGTGAAATTCTACAAAAAAGGGGAGGAAAGATTGATTCTTCTAACAAAAGAAAATTACAGTGTACAAAGCATTTCACTCTGGAGATGCTTTGGTGTATTTGTGCAAAGATTTTCAGACATTTGAAGCATGCTTTGTGAAAATGAAGTTTACATTTTGTGTCATCATCACAAATGTGATAGGAACAATGAATGCATTTTACTATTTAGTGAGGTAAGTGGGAATGGCCGTCATTGGCGGGACCATGTTTTCTTTTTTGACATAATGAAAGCAGTGACCTATTATAACATTCAGTAGTAGTTCTCACTGATGCTGAAAATACCCCAGAGATTTAAAGTTATCTGCTGAAGTCAGATGACTAACAGCATAAATAAATTCAGAAAATAAGTATAATAAAATTGATTATAAATTTCATTCATTCAGAAATATTTATGAATGGGGAATCTACATGTAATAATATGTTTAACTTGAAAGATTGAACCCAAAGAGTCTGAGCAAACTATACATCTCTCTTTCAACTTTTGCCTTTGACTGTAGTGTCCATCGAGGAGACCTGGGATTCACAGTCCGTATCCCCTTGGTGGCAGCAGATGCGCACAGCTTGTATTCAGTCAGAGAGCAATGGAGCTGCTCTGCTCTCAGCGCATGTGGGGCATTCTGTGGCCGCACAGATGTCAAGCAGTACAGCAGAGAAAGATGTGAGTGCAGCGGTCCCTGTGACCTGTGCCCGTTGAGCAGTTTATAGCTTTGAGTGACTGAAGTGAGAATCCTGTTAACTTTTAGCTTTGTGGTTTTTCCTTCCCTCATGAAGACCTAAATTTATATTTTTAAGAAAAATGCTATCCCTTATATCTCATGGCATATCATATAGTTCTTTTCTAGAGAGCTGTTGTGTCAAATGATGTAACATCTCATTAGATGAGACTTTATGTAGCTCTGTGGAGATTAACTTCGTCAGTCTCAGTAGTTTATAGGCTAAGTTTAATATTAGCTTAAGATGTTTATAATGATGGAGGGAGAAGAAGTTTCAGACACCATTTTTTGTTAAGTACATTCTCAGGAAATAATAGTCTCCTGAACTGATAGGAAAAGCTGTGGCTTTAGAGGTGAAAATATTTGGAAGAGAACCCTGGTTGGCTCTTGGGCATTATACACTCCTTTGTTGTTGCCTTAAGTTTCCAGTCTCATGTTTCATCGTACTAAGTGTAATATTTGTGCAGCAGCATTGGTTTTGCTTTGTGCGGTGCCCTGACTTCCCATCTACTCTCAAGTCATAGCTTATTCCAGCCTCCCTGGTGGTACAGGAGTTAAAGCACAGCACCGTGAAGCAATTACCAGCCACTGTGCCATGAGTTCAAGCCCCCAGGAGCTAACCCAGCTGACCCAGTGGCACAGCAGACCTTGCCTACCCTGCCCGCTGCTCCCTTCAGCAGTATATCTCAGTCTCTCTGCCTGTTATGTTCCCTACTCTGTCTCTGGTGAATCCTCTCACCCCACCATACCTCAGTTCTTACATGCATAAATAAATAAAATTTTTAAAACAAACAAAAAGCTTATTCCAGTTTAGATTGATTTAGAACTTTGCTTGAGTCTCATCAGTGCCTGTTTTGTTAGTTTTCCCAAGAAGCTGGTGGTGCTGATTCGGAGGGCCTCACTGATTCCTGGGAGGCACTTTCTCTTGACACTGAGTACTGGAAACTCCTGCTGAAACAACTGGAGGATTGTCTCATTCTTCAGACTCTGCTTCATAGCAAAATGAACACTCAGACCTCTAAAGTGTCCTCGCCACAGGCCGAACCCCTCCCAAGGCTTTCTGTGAGAAAGTTATTAGAAGGAGGAAAAGGTAACCTGAAGTTGATTTGAACATTTGCATTTATATACTTATATTTTAATGGTATGCACTTCTTGTTGTTTATAAAAAGTGACTAACAGAAGAATGCACTCATTTAAAAAAATTTTAGGTTTCTACTGCATACTTCTCATTTAATCTTTTCAGGTCTCATCTTGTTAATTCCCTGCTCAGGAACTTCCCAAACTCTTGCCCCCTGGCAAATAAACAGTGGTTTTCACGGAATAGTTAGAGAACTTCAAAACTTGACCTCTTTCTCTTATATGTGAGGGGGATTTTCCTTATAGAATTCAACAAAAATGAAATCACACTGGCTACAGTGCAGAAACCAATTGGAGAGTCCAGATGTAAACTAGAGGCTTGCAAAAGAGAAGCACCATTGTTCATACTAAATATCTCTTTTGCTTTGAGAAATAGTTGTTTTTATAAAATACTGTGAATGTGTGCCAGAGTTATTTTTAAATGAACTAGTATGTTTTTTAATTAGTTTTAATTTCTAATATCATAAAGATTGATACTCATCTTTGGAGGCCCAGCTCAACTGCTACCTCCAAGAAACCTTTCAGTATCCACTGTGTATCTTTTCCACCTAATTTCTAGATCTTGATACTTCTTTTCCAGTTTGTCATGTCCTGCTGACATGGCATCATTAGGATCCCATGCTTGTTTCTTGTGGGGCCATAAACATCTTACATTTTGAATGATCTCAGCCCCCACCCTCCTTTTTTTTTTACCAGCTTATCGGACATTTGGTATGAAAATGACAGTATTTAAAATCATTTTCCCATTCTTTTAAGACTGTGACAATTTTAAAATCATAAACTTACTGTACTCTATGCTGCCATCTGGTGAAAGTATAGGACACCATTTTAATAATTAACTCACAATATAATCAGGGACTTGATTCTGGAATGAAAATTATCAAGTGATTTAAAAAACAGAAATAGGAATTTAGATCACTCAACACACTAATTTGTGTTGAAAAGTTTTTATTTGAATCAAATAGGAGAAAAGAAAAAATTGGTAAATTATGTTCATTTGTTTTGGGCACTGAAGCAGGGCACTTCCTTGAATACTTTTCAGTTTGCATTTATATCTTTTTGGACCATTTGATGACTTAAATATGCTATAGCGTCATGTTGATGAGCTGTGGCTAAATTTTGCCCATAAATAACTATATAGGAAGTAGGGTGACTATTACAAATAATAGATTGTCCTAAGAATCCATAAAAAGTATCACTTGTTTTTACTTTATTTAAATGAAAATGTTTTAGTATATATTTGTCCCTTCATCTTTGTCTGGTATACACACACACACACACACATACATATATATAGCATATACATCTGTATTAACATTTTGTGAAAGTAGAAAGTTGCTCTGAGATGCAGGTACCCCTCCATGCTGGATGGTGGGTAGTGAAATTGTGAATGTCATGACTTGGATGCTCAACACTGAACTTGGTGCTTAAATTGCTGCAAAAGGCAGGCCGTGCTCCTTAGTAGCTCCTTTCACCAAACATTGTATATTTTCATTATCTTTCTTGTCTCTGTAACTGTAGGTGGCATTGCAGACACTGTAGCCAAGTGGATATTTAAACAGGATATCAGCCCTGAAATGTTAAACCTAGCTAATAATGGAAAAGATGCAGAAGACCCAGATGAACCCAAAGAAGGTGTTAACCAAGGTTTATTAGAGGTGGCAGAGGTGGAGATGGACTTGGGCACCATACCAGGTATGGAGCAAAGTGACATCCAGAGTGGAGATGATGTGACTGTTAATTAGAGCAGAAATGACATCCCTTTCTTCTTTCAGAGCTGCTGCGTCTGGCCTCGCAGCAATTTCCCTGTAGCCTTGAGCCAGATGTGCTGCACGCACACTGTTGCTGGGAGTATGTGGTTCAGTGGAACAAAGACCCAGAGGTGAGGTGCTCCTGCCATGCTTGTTTTGGTTCTGCTCTGTACTCATGCTCAAAGTGAGGGACAGTCCAGCTATAAACACTGGGTTTTCTCTTAGGAATGTCTCCATACTAGAAGCCAAGGCCCTTTACATCGGTCCTCATTTACAGTACACAGTAGACCCATGAAGTATGGGTATTGTCAGTGTCCCTCTTGAGAGATGAGAACTCAAGGGCCCACAGAACACACTGCTGCCTGAGGACACCTGCTCAGGCTGCAGCTGGCAAGCAGTTAGGCCAAGGTTTCTCTACACAAAAGCCATTGTGCTTGCCCTACTCCCGATTATGTGTGAAGTGTTTGTTTTCTCTTTGCTTTTGAGTTCTTTGGGAGAGATTAATGCCTTTAGCAGAAAATTCTTCAATGTTAAAGTCATCGGGATAAGCCAGATACTGACACCAGCTGGTGTGTGGTTGGTCAGATGGGTCTGTGTGTGTCCATAGCTTCTGCTTGTCTCAGAGGGAGAATCGGGAAAGCCATCTCTGTATAGAGGGCCTAAGCCAGAGTCTCAGAACTCTGCTTGGGCAGCATCTTCTACCACCTCTGGTAGCCAGCCCCCTCTCCTCCCATAAGGATAGTTACAACTCACTTGGACTCATCACTGCATTGCTGAACCTACTTGCTTCACTGTCTTTTTCTAATGAAGCTACAAACCTTCAAACATTGATTCCAGGATCAAACATCTACAAACATTATGATGGCTATTCTTTCCTTTTCATAGGCCTCCCTAGCCGGAAAATTATCCTCTCAAAATTCTTTTATCCTCCCAAGCTATTTCATGTTAATATGTTAATGGTTAACAATATTCTTCCCTCCTCAAAAAACAAAAACAAAAACAAAAACTTACAGAGAAAGAGTTAAACCTTTCATATTAAACCTTGACCATAATATGAATTTCAAGCAAGGACTCTTGAGGGGCTCCAGCACCCTCTTCCATTGCCTCCTTGCAGTCTGCATGCTGGTCATGTTTAGGCTCTCTATATAGACCTTTTTTTCTGTATGAAAGAAAAATGCTAATACATGGATATCATACTTTCTAAAATCTGGGTGAATTCAAGACTTGGGTACAAGAAAGTGATACTTAAAAAGAAAACCACATGTATTATAAACCAAAGGCAGCTTGCACAGTAGATGGAAAGCTGAGTCCAAGCATCATTACTGCTGCTTGTTAGCTGTCTGACCTATCTCTGATCCCTTTGTTCTCAATTTTCTCCTAAAAAATGACAATTACTGTTGTCTGGGTATTGCAGTTTAAAGACAAAATCAGCTGCCTCAAGTGCATTCCCTGCCATTTTGATTAGGGTTATCATTGTCTGTTGGTAGAATTGTTCACATTTTAAGTAAGTAACCGTGTTTTGTTTTGTTTTTTTTCTTCTTGTTAGATATTTATCTCCTCGCCTTATCCAGTCCCTATTCCAGTCCCACCTCTTTATACAAGCTTTACTAGGCTGAAAGCAACTAAAATGATCCTTTGAGGAATTGCTAACACCAGCATGTATCGGCGTAGATGATATGCTTAATTTTTGTACAGACTAGAAATTACTAGAGATCTGAATAATAAGTTTTGTACACTGCATTTGGGTATTAATATTTAAACTCCCTTGGTTAGAAATAGTTGCATTTCAACTGCTTTCTCTGATATTTTATATTTCCTTTCACTGCTTTTATTTATTTCTCTTGGCACTTATCACTGACATATTTTTGACATACAAAATATTATTTATATTTATTGTCTCTTTCCCTCTCAGACTGTAACCTTAGGGAAGGTTAGGATCTGGGTTTGTTTTTGTTCATTATACACCTCTTGTGCCACAAGTTGCCTGATGCATAGTAGATGCTCAGTCAGTATTAGTTAAGGAAAGATGGAGTGGGGAAGGAGGCAAAGAGGAAAGGACAAAGGAATGACATTTGCAAGGAAATAAACTCATTGTTTACACATCTTTGTGAAATTCAAGTTTTTGTTGCTAAGAACAGAAAGATGTACGGATCACAGTAAATTTTTATTCCAGATGTCAGCACCTGTGTATCACCTGGGGCTGTCTAGGAATCAAGATATTATGTCAATATGTGAATTTAAGAGCGATCATTGCTTTTATCTTAGGAAAAGTTACTTCTTAATTAATTCCTTGTTCTTACTACAAAATTCCTGGGTTTCTTTATACAAAAATGTGTGTAAGAAGTCTCCATTTGTATTTGAAACATCTATTAAATGGCACCTCTTTTTTCTTTTCCTTTTTTCCCCTGTATGTAAGGAAGCACGTTTTTTTGTTAGATCCATAGAACACTTGAAGCACATTCTTAATGCCCATGTTCAGAATGGTAAGTAAACAGGTGTCATTACTGTGTATCATTCTGTACAAAGTGCTGACTGCTAACTGCATGGAAATGTTATCCAGAAGGGGGAGGAGGGCAGGAATAGTCACTGTGTTCCCACCCATCCAGCACTTTTCCAAGCTGCCTACTCTTCATAGATGTGAGAAGAATATTACACACAAGTCATTGATTCTTTATTTCAGAGGAATTCCCTGGGTTGTAATTCTTGATGAAGTTAGGTAGCCAAAAACCTATCTTCAAGACTGACCACTTGTGCTTCTTTTAAAAAGCATATGTGCTCATCATATAAGGATTGATGATGCCACCTTGAAAAAGTGTTAACAAATTATAGAGAAACTAAAGAGTTTTTTGGTTCATTTCATAAGACAGATGGGGTTCCTTGGAGGAATTCATTGTTAGGCTACTTAGTAACCTTGCTACGTGACGAGACTAGATACTGAGACTGGTGAGAAGAGATATCACCTTAATGTCTGGGATAAATTATCCTTACTGATAAAATTAAGTCACCACCTCTCTCCAGGCTGCTTTCTTCAAGTTAGAACTTTACCCATTTGTGCAATGAGTAAAACATCATGGCCTATTTACAGGTCTTCAAAGACCTCACACCTAGATATACAAAGCCAATTCCACAGGTAACAACAGACCACGTGAAATGTCATGTTTATGTCGTCTAGCTGACAAATCTCTTAAGTTTTTATGAGTTCTGCTGCTTATTATGTATGGAAATATAAAGCCTACAGTTTTTGCTTGGTTTGTTAAAATAACTTTTTGTATTTCATTTGGTTTTTAATACTTCCTTGTATGTCACCTCTTTGGTATTTCACCTATTTGGTATTTGAAAAAGCCAGTTGGTGGGCATTGACTGGCGATTATGAGTAAATATGTTGTTAGTGCTCTTGGACAGATATTTGTATTCATTTCTGCGGTATAATTTCTGTGGGTCATTTGATGGAGACATATTTAATAGATGCTACTAAACTACCTTCCAGGTGGTTTTACCAAGGTATTATCCCAGTAGCAGTGTGTGAACATTCTAGTTTTTTCCCACATCCTCACCAACACTCAGTATTATTAAAAATCTTGACTTTCGGCCCTCCCTGGTGGCGCAGCGGGTTAAAGCACTGCACTACAAAGCTTAAGCCACTTCAGCATGAGTTCAATTCCCGCCTGCCCCGGAGGAGTCCACATGGCGAGGCAGACCTCTCCTGACCCGCCCACTGCTTCCCTCAGCAGTGTACTTCGTCGATCTGCTCCCCACTCTGTCTCTGGTGAATCCTCTCACCCTCCGCATCTCTGGCCTGTACCCCAGTTCTATATGAATAAATAAATCTTTAAAAAAAAAAATCTTGACTTTCTGTTGGTTGTGTGTGACATCTTTGTGATTTTGAATTATATCTGTACAACTAATGATGTGACTCTTAGGCTTGTTAGCCATTTGGGTATCTTCATGCAGTCGAATTCTGATTTTCATTAAAGATTTTTATTTTATAAGCAGGTAGATATACACAAAGTGATATCTATCCCATGTAGTTATATAAACTTAAGGAAGACAATTTGTTGTGTATGATGCAAGCAAAAAACACTATTCACTCCTATGCTTTTGACTTGCTCTCCAGGCGTTGCACTGATGATGTGGAACACGTTCTTGGTTAAAAGGTTTTCTGCTGCCACTTACTTGATGGATAAGGTAAGTAATTTAATGTCATATGCTGACCTCTTATTTGGTTCCCTTGATTGACTGCTACTAGAAGGATTGTATACATTGGGACTGATTATTTTTCATTTGATAATGCATTTTACTTACACTGTTAAATGTAATTCCCAATACAGGTCTCCTGATGATTGAGGAGCCCCAGATCCACAAGAGAGAATAATAATCTGGTCCCTGATTTACAGTGGTTTTACTGACTTACTTTAGTTTAAAAAACGTTCAGCACAAACCGTTTTGAGTTTCCATATTTTCCTAAACCAGGAGTAGCGGCACAGTCCTTAGCTGGCCCTCTGCTTAGGTAGAGGCCCTGTATCATTGCAGCATAAATTACATGAGCCAGTCAGCACTGTCTTGTCAAATGCCCAGGTGCAACATACATGTTCAGAGCATGTATTAAAGTAGACTGGCTAAGGTCTCATGTTTGATGTAATACATTTTTGACTTAAGATATTGTCACCTTACAAAAGATTTACCAGAACACAACTACATTGTAAGTCAAGGAACATCTGTTCTGTTGTAAAAGCTTCTGAACCCAAGAAACTGGGTTCATTCAAGCAGGAATTTGATTTTATTTCAAATTAAAACATACAGATATATACTTACTCACCAATCTTTGGATTTGGAGCCAAGATATGTTCTTTGAATGAGTTCATTTGCAATTCTTTTTACATAAATCATACACACATAGACCTTACCTCTTTAATGTTAAGATGCACTGTGCAAAATTCTTAGATTTTTTTTTTTTTTTGCCCACACCCTCTACCTTTTCCTTCTGGGGACCACCATTTTGTTTTCATAAGTTCATATTTTGTTTTGTGCTTTGGTTTGTGTTAAATGTTCTTTTTTTTTTCTTTTTACAAAAGTTTATTTTTACATCATTTTGTACATTTTTTTTTTTCCCATCTCAATTGAAATCCCCACGGGTTTCCTATCACCAAGTCACCCATGTGCCATCACCATAATCCCGTGCATTTCCCTCCCCACCCCACCCCCGTTTTTAATCCCATTCCCCACTCCACCCCCACAAAATGTCTCTGGTATATGGTTGTTCGTTATGCAAAATTCTTAGATGTTTATAACTTATTCCCTAATCTTTATACTAATCTTTGTTTCTCCTACATCTAACCTGATAGCTACTCCATAAATTGTTTTAAAGCATTCAATGTAGCATTCATAGTAACTATCCCACCTTTTCCACTCTTGTTCCAGCAGCTGTTTAATTGCTTTATTATAATGACGGGTACATCCAGCACAGGTAGTCATGGGAACTGATGTAAGCACAGCCCTTAGGGAAGCAGAAGTGGCTCCCCTGCTGGAGGGGATTACTGGCAGTGAACAAGCACAGGGGCAGGGGTCTGGCCAGAAAAGTGGGAGTTAAATGAGTGAGTTAAATGATCACATATTCTGCAAATGCACAGAGCAATCCTGAACCATAAGCACATGCCCACTTTAGGTCACTGCCCTCTCTAAAGTGCTTTGATGACCATGGTAACACTTTTTTCTAGTTAAATATCTTCTCTCCTGTGTCATCTACCTGATCCACTTACCTGCTTCTTAAAACATATTCCTTTTTGACCTTTATACTGTTGTTCACATTTGTGAGAATAATAAAGACTTTTGTGTGTGCATGGTCCTTTACAGTTTTGCAGCACTTTCGTAACCACCACTTGAGTCAGCGTTACAACTTGGTTTTGGGTTTAAACAAGGGGGAACTAGTAAGTACAGTGTTTCTGATCAATCATCCAGTAAACTTTATTACAGTGAGTTATCTCTGTGTTAGGGACTGTGCTGAGTTCACTGTGCAAGAAGAACATCACATTCCTCTCCTTCAAGGATTCACAGTCCAAGACAGGGAAACAGACACTGGGGTGCTTTGGCAGCAAAGAGCAGTAATAAGGGGGAACCTCTGAGCTGAATTTTGGAGGATAAGTTTGTATGAACCAGTAAAAAGTGAGTAAAGCATTACTGCAAAAAGTTGTAGAGCAGGGAATTGGATTCAGAGAGCTGAAAAAAAACTTCATATGGCTGGAATATAGACTGCAAGAAACAGCAGGAAGCAGAGCTTGAAGAGTTAGTTTTTCGTTTAGACTGCATTCACCAAAACTCCCAGTGGAGACATGGGAACAGTTTTAAGCAGAAGAATGTTATGTGCAGATTTGCATTTTAAAAGATGACTGTAGGAACTAGGTGAAATATATTGGGGTGGGCCAGTGGGCACTGGGGAGAAGGCTGGTGCAGAGTTCTCAGAGTATGATGTAAGGAGTCCTTCATTCTGTGACAGCTGGACCTGCCTTCCCTTGTCACTATCCCTGTGAGTTCTTACCAAGTGATATTCTTGAAGGGCAAAATAGAAATTACCAAATTGAGGAAAATCCACTGATTTTCCTAGATAAAAATAACAGTCTAAAGCACACATTCTTATCATTTAGCAGAATTCTCACATGTTCTTTAATCATATCCTTGAGTCCCATCTTGAGGGTTTTTTAATTAATGCATACAAGTAGGATGAAGCTAGAGTGAGGAGCAGAACAGTCAGATCTACTGAAATACACTGCTAAGGGGAACAGTGAGAGAGAAAGCCGAGGTCTTCACCATGTGGTTTAACTCTATGGCTGGGGATTGAACTCATACCACAGAGGCTGGTAATAACTTGACAGCACTGAGACTAATTCCTGTGCCACTTGGGAATCCTGCTTTTGAGTTTTATGGCAAAAATGATAATTATATAAAGTCTGAGAATCAAGATTTTTCTTAATTGTATGAGCCCACTGGGATATATTTATTATAGTATATTCATGAATTCTACCACAGAGTTAATTGTGTTAATTTATGAGTAAAATGTGCTTAAAGATTGTGAATTTATAGCTGTTAGAAATCACCAAACATTCTTATATTTTGTGTTCTTTTCTTAGGTTGGAAAATCACCAAAGGACAGGTTATGCCGAAGGGTGAGTCTTCTCCAACAAGTGAACTCACCTTTTATCATTTTGGTGACACATGGAAAAGAGTGAATACTGCATTAAGGAAAGTGGTCATAAACTCTGGCCAGTTTTAATATACATTTCCATATTGTTAGATAGTCTGCTTGAGCATTCACAGGTATTTCAACTTTGGACTGTGGGTAGGAGGATTATGTGCTCATTGCTGTGTATTTAGTTTGTGCTGTGTATTTAGTTTGCCCTGTGTAATGGAAACATCCGTCATCAAACTGGTAGAGATTCAGAAGAGCAGAGAATGACATCAACCTCTGTAATAACCATTTCACAAAGAGGCTTTAAGGCTGGTGATTATGAGCTTTTGCTCAAATTCAGGTACCATAGGTTCCTAGTTTAGAAAAATTAGTGGTTCAAGAACTCTCCTGGTCTACTCTCCGAAAGAGCTATGTGAACAGTTATGTTAGGAATGAAGTTATTAGGAAAACGATGTGACTGGTGCCCTTTTAGGTAACAGACAGAAGCCATCTGTGGCCCAATACTAGTCTGACATTAGTTCACAGGCTTGCAGAGTTTTGTTCAGAGTGCTTTCTTTCCCTAAAAGATAGCCTAGAATATGTCTCCTTGTCCATCAATTGTCTTAGCATGCAACACAAGGAGCAGGAGTCTGGGCTGGCTGTATCCTGTGTCTTTGATGTTACTTAGTTCAGGTGTACAGCCTGACCTGTTATTTATGTATACTGTGAAATGACCCAACCCAGTGAGTCCACACCCAACCCCTTGCATTTGTTTTTTAAGGTAACTTTTAAGATGCTCTGACACTATTAACTAAGGCTACCACGCTGTGCTTGCTGTCCCCACAGCTGATGTTATAACTTCAAGTTTGTGCCTTCGGATCCCTTCATATGTCTTCACCTTTGGCAACCATCCGTTTGCTAGAAGTTTGATTCTTTGTGATCGCATGAAGTTTCTTTTTCTACATTCTTAGTAACTAATGGAGAATATTAATTTTTTTTGAAAATACTAATTTTTAAGTGGATGGTGATATAATCTTTATAGAGCCTAATTTTAAAATTAGTCAAATCTAAAGAAAAAATGTGTTAATGTCTCAACTTTCAAACTCTTATCTTTCTATCCAGTGGGGAAAGTCCATGGCATAGGTGTCCTGGTGTCTGATAAGGACAATAGCAGTTTTGTTGCAGGAGCTGATTATGTCCCTCTGTTTTTAAAAAAAAAAAAAAAAAACAGGATGTGGGGCTAAGTGATACAGCGATGACCTTGTTCCTTGGTTCCTGCCTGGATCTTCTTCAGACTTTAATGGAGGTAAAAGGTGTATTTTTATTCTGACCTGTCTTTAACATAACAAATGTTTTTAAAATCCATAGCTTGAGTATTAGTGTTTTTCATGTATTCATTTCTGTATTTTGACCTTAACAAACAGCAGTGAGGTTTCTCATTAATCTCTGGCATAATCCCAGGAGTGGGGAGAGATACTGGCTTGCATTTTCCTGTTGGTAAACTCCTTGCAGACTCTCATTTTTCCAATTCTGCATGGCTCTCAAATCCTTAGGCAGATGTGAACAGGGACGAGATGCAGATGACTGTCCTGGATACTGAGGATGCATGGCTCAGTGTTGAAGGCCCAATCTCCATAGTGGAACTGGCCCTGGAACAGAAGCACATCCACTACCCACTGGTAGAGCACCACTCTGTCCTCTGTGCCATCCTCTACGCCATCATGAGGTTCTCTCTCAAGACTGTGAAGCCACTCTCCCTTTTTGACAGTAAGGTAAGCACCAGAGATTAGGGAGCAGAGGGCTTAGCAGGCACAGGCAGGGCTCTAACTTGTAGGGGAGGATCACTGGGGAGCAGAAAACCCGCCAGATTCCCTGTTCTTGCAGATTCTTCCTGTGTACTCAGCTGTTTGTTCCTAACAGTCATTTGTTCATCTTTAGGCATAACCTTCCCCCAGGATTTCAGGCATTGAAATACTGTGCTGAGGGGCTCTAGATCCCTTACACAAACTTAACTGCCATATTTACCCTGTCCTTCTCTTGCTTTTCCTCCAGATCTCCCAGGCCTGGTTAGTTTATTAGTAATGGCACTGTGCACTGCCACAAACTAAAAACCTTGATAGTACTAGCTCACTGTCCTTCAGACCTTACATTCATAAATTCATTTCTTGTAAATTCCTCCTTAATTCAGACCTGTCCATTCCAATGTCACTGTGACCCTAGTTCAATCAATGTCTTCTATCGCTGGGCGAATATAGCAGTGCCCAGTTTCTGCAGCCAGAGCTATGCCAGCACACACATAAGCCTCTGCTATGTTCTCCAACTTCACTTTCATCAGTAAAGTTAATAACCTCACCCCTTTTTATAGGATAGGCCTCTGTAGAGAGAAGCCTCCCAAAGAAGATAAGCAGGGTCCTGCCAGGAATGCTCAGCTGCTGCCCAGACTTGTCGTCACATCCTAGGGAAGCAGGCATGCACTCAACAGCTCTGGAATGTTGTCCTCGAGAGGCTTGCCACAGAGCCCATGCTGTTCCTGTGCTGCAGCCACTGTAACATCAGATATTTTGTTGCTGCTAATATTCCTTAAGTGCCTCATCTCTTTAGGAGCCCAACACACACTTCCTGTATTCCAGTAAGAGCTGTTCAAATCACATGAAGTAGTATGCTAAGACTTGAGTTGGCATTGGAGTTTGAAAACCACTCAGTCAGCTGGTGGCAACACTGACAAGTGACAGAACTCGTGATGGATTTGGAGGAATCAGTAACCTAAGGACAGGTTGCACAGAGTGCTGAAGGGGCTAGAATTAACTCCAGTGCTGGGCATTCGCAAGGACCGCTCAATCAGAGATTTTAGACACATAAAGGGAAAATATAAACAAACGAACATTCTAAGAAATCTTTTCTAAAAAGTAACCATAACTTTAGATTCTCAATAGGTGACTTTTGAAAGCAGATGAGAGGTCTAATATTTTCATTTATAAATATAGATTATCTTTCAAGATAAAGTATCTCAATATTCCCCTCAGTACTGAGTATTCCCCTCAACTGTTAGATGAACAGTGGTTGAGTGTGCTCTCAGCTCTATTGAGGGGACCTGAGGCAGTGTGGTTTAAGTTACTAAAACAGAACCTTGGCTTTGCCATTACCAGTAAGAATTAGTTTCTCAATCAGAGGTGACAGCTGTGGGTGAGGTATGGGGAAAAAACTGAGTGGATTGCTGACTACTTCTCACTATAGGGACAAGTAGGTATAGAATGTTCACTCGAAGCTAGATGCTATCTCGGATCATTTACTTGCAGATGACAGAATAGCACCCAGAGATGGTGGGGTTGGTGGACGTGGAAGATCCATCCACCTAGTCTCAGGTCCAACTTTGTTCTGTGATGGATTTCCTGCCAAGGAATTTCTGAAATCCTGGGCTCTGAGACCTTTTTTAAGCAGTTCACAGGGTATTTTTTTGTTTTGTTTTGTTTTTTAAATCAGTATAGGGTTAAGTACTAGTTCTCTGTTAGTGCACAATTAATTATCCTGCTATTTAGTGGCTAAAAGCAAAATGTGCACTATTTTTGTGGGTCAGGAATCTGAGCTTCCCTCACCCAGTCCCTCATGAGAGGGTTAAGGTTTCATCTAAAGGCTGGGCAGGAGCCGTACCTGATGGGAGGGGGGATCCAGTGCCTAGTCACATGTGCTTTTTCATCAGGCAGCTCAGCGCACACTTCCCTCAGAGCCAGTGAGGGAGGTTCAGGCACCCAGGGCAGAAACCACCATCCTTTTGTTGACCAGACTTGGAAGAACATGGTTAACCTGATTGTTTTTGTCAGCAGTGAGTCACCAGCCTACTCCAGGGAAGGGAGTCCAGTGGGAATGAGGACAGGAGGAGGGAAGCCTGAGGCCACATTAATGACAGTCATTAAGTGTCCCCACACTGGGTAATTGTAAAAAAAAAAATCAGTAAAGTGCGATGTTACTGTTCAAGGAACACGAGATCAACTGTAACTTCTTGTTTAAATGAATTTCTAAAATACCCTCCCACCCCATTATTAATCCATATTCAATCAGCTCTTTTCTCTTTAGGGAAAAAATGCATTTTTCAAAGACCTGACTTCAATTCAGTTACTACCTAGTGGGGAAATGGATGCAAATTTTATCTTACTACGACAACAGGTAATTTACAGATACTGGATTTTGATTATGTTTCTTAGGGGAAAAACACTAATACTGTTCTTTAAAGGACAGCCAACGCACTTTTAAAAGCTGATTCCTTTTAACTGATAATTTCAATAGAAAAGCTACTCTAATTAACAGAAAAGTCAATGATTACTTTGACTTGGAAATGGACACTGAGGTATTGCCGTTTCTTTTTCCATTTTTAAGTTCTTACTGAAAGTTGTCAGTGCAGCTGTCCAGGCCCAACATGTAGTCATGAAGGACAAAGATTCCTCAGGGGAAGCACCAATTTCTCCTTTGGGGAACGACCCAGATTGGCCAGCGCTAGCCGTGTATTTGGCCCTTCACCTCCAAGTCAGTGAAGATGTCGTCAGACGGCATTATGTGGGGGAGCTCTACAACTATGGAGTCGACCACTTGGGAGAAGAGGTAATTATGACCCTGTTAATGTACAATTCAGTCAGCAAAAGTCTGTGATAAAACTTTTAGCTTTTCCTTGTTATTCTTAGGTATAGAAACAGTATTTAAAATACAAACTTTAATCACAGCTGGTTCTGGCCCATGTTTAGTAAAACACTCTGGTGTGGCAGGCCTATTCCCTGCAAAGGGTGCAGGGTCCTTCCTCATGGAACTGATAGGGCAGCCAATTTTGTATTAAATGATAAATATGAAAAAACAAACCAAAAAACACCAAACAGGTTCATAAGAAAATGAGCTACTGTAATAGTGGTCTGAGGTGATATTTGAACTCAACACAGCCACCAGCACTCAGAAAATTGGGGTACACAGACCCTGAGGTAAGAACAAGGGTGGGGTGGAAGGTGGCCATTTCGCCCAGTGCATTCAGGGGCCATTAGAGGGTTTTCAATAGTTATGATTTCTCCTAATTCAATTCCCTTTCTTTGCCAAAACCTTAGAAATGAAAATCAGGTGATAAAAAATGTAGGTGATGAGCAGAATCTTGTCATTTAAATGCTAAGTTGGCAGTCATGGCCACAGCTCAAAAATGACCAACCTCTCACTTTGTATTTGCCCTGATTCATCTCCTTAGGCTATTCTCCAGGTTCGTGACAAAGAGGTCCTGGCCTCTCATCTGCTGATGCTGACTGGGCAGAGGCTGGCCCACACGCTCCTGCACACCCAGACAAAGGAAGGCATGGAGCTGCTGGCCAGGCTGCCACCCACTCTCTGCACTTGGCTGAAAGCAGTGGTAAGCGCAACAGGGAGAAGCCAGAAGTGCCTGTTTAATTTTAATTAAGAATTTGTAAAATACTCCGCTCCAAAGAAAAGCATTTTTGTTAGGAAATAACTATCCTGGTAACTTCACTTTAAGAGAAATTGTTGTATATAACTGATGGGTTATTTTTGTGTCCTGTTTGCAGGACTCTCAAGATCTTCGAAACACTGAAGTGCCAATTGCAACAACAGCTAAACTAGTGCATAGAGTCATGGAACTTCTTCCAGAAAAACATGGGCAGTACACTCTAGCCTTGCACCTCATGGAGGCTGTGGAAGCCATATCTATGCCTACTTTATGACACCCAGCTACTGACAACTGTCCAAAGTTGTGGCTGTAATTAGTGCATGGTTATTTTACATAGTAAGATCTGGAATTTTATGGGGTGGAGGGAGTTTGTCTTATTTTGTAAAATAAAAATATATATTACTTTTGAAAAGCAGTCCTGGGTAATTCCACTCCTTGGGTTAATACTAAAGATAAGCAAATACCAGCTATACTGACATTTTACTGTTTCTTTCTAATTGGAGCACTGAATAGTTTCACTGGTAAACTGTTCTTAAAAGATCCTCTATTTCATACTCAAAATGCAATTAAATGTAAGTGTTTTCATAGATAGTGTCCAACAGTAAAAAAAAAAAAAAATTCCCTCTCCTCTAAGAAATGTTGGGGAAATGGTTGTGCTTTCATGGAGCTGCACCTGGAATTCTGGATACTGACAGGCTCCTTCCCAGAGGTCGCACTGCTGCTGTCAGAGGAGGCAGACCTTGTTTGAGGAGGAATTAAGAATCCAAGGTCACCAGAAGAGATAGTAAATGGGGCCCTCAACCTGCTGTTCTTGCAAAATTCAGAATCTGAGATGCAAGCAACACAGCAGAATTAATTATAATGAAGACTTGCTTTTGCCAAGATTGTATCACCAGGTAAATGTGAAAAATGCGTTATTGTGTAAAAATTTTTAAAAGGGCCAAAAATGATAAAAACTTTAACTCCAACTTTGTTTTTCCTACATGTGTTTAGAAATGTCTGCTTCTGGGATTTGGTACTGTTATCTGTTCTTGGGAACATAGAAGAAATGCTCAGTGATGCTACAACTTTAGCAAACCTACCTCATGGCAGTGTTAAGAATATAAAACTAATTTTGTACCCTATAGTGCCTAGAGCAGTCCAAGAGCTGAGTAATTTGTTGATTAAAACCAAATTACAACTAAAGTGCTTTGAGCTTTACAAATACCAGGTATTTGTTAACGGTATGTTTTTGGAATGTAGCCATATAATGCAATTCTTGATATCTCTATCACGGATCACAATTGTTATTCATAGTTACTCACTGTGATACAGTAGTTTGTTTCTTCCTTTCCTTGTAAGAAGCCAACTCTAGCATTTGTACAAAGTTGGAGTGTGTCCTTCATGAATATAAAGAAAAAAGTCTGATGTGTGAGGGTATCCTCGTGTAAAGTAATTTTAAAAATCACATGCAAATAAGAACTTAGCTATTAAACCTTACACTGGGTGAGGAGGGCCTACAATTCTGACTGAGGCTTACTGTAAAGTAGTAACTTTGGTAAGGACCATGAGCCAGTCCTACCGCCGCCTCTGTCCCATCCAGACATTGTCATGATTCCTCATAATGGCAGCTGGCTTTACACAGTCATGTCTACTCACACTCTTTACAAAATCCCTTACAAGTTTGGGAGACTGATCAAAGTTGAAGTCAGGTCCTCACTTTGATTCTGTTATCACTTTTGGAGGCAGGGGTAATTAATAAGCATTTTAGATAAAATTGGTTAAACAAAACATAGTAAGCTGAAATATGGCTCATGGAAATACTAACAAATCACTGAGTCTCTGGTTAGATTTGTAGTCTTAAAATCTGCCATTCACAGAATTTTAGAATTGACTTCTGGGTTGTATTAGAAAAGCAGTTAAATATTTTACTATTTCATCAAGGGCTTTTAAAATAAATCTGATAGGGAGAAAGGGAAAATAACTTTGTACATATTCTGTAATAACAGAGACAAGTAAAGGAATTAGATCTTAAGTGAACAGGTGGTTTCTGAAACAGGCTTTGTTGACTTACTGAGGTGGTTATGGGAAGGCACAAAGCAGCAGCCTTTTCCTAGACAGACTCCAGCCCTCTAAGTCTTTCTCCATTATGCACCTTGTTAAATATCACTGCATACTGCTCAAGGAAAACAAGTGTTCACATAATCTGAACAGAATTCTGCACTACAGGTTATATTTAGAGGAGTCAGAGGAGCACAGCACCATACTTCTAAATGCTTTGTACTTTCGCAAAAGAAATTCACCTTAAATTTTTTTAATGAGTTACATTTAAGTTGCTTTACTTGATGAACTGCAATTTAAACATCACAAAACTCAAATTTAACAAAGCATCATGTCTACTTACAAGTTGCCGTGCTCCATTCCATGAGTAGTGCTCCACAGCAGCAGTGAGGTTCTTTCCCTGTAGGGATAGGGCTCTCTGGCTTCTGCAATTTAGATTTCTGCTGAGTAGGATTAGCCACCCTTAGAAAGACTATAATCCAATATGGAACCGTTTATAGGATTCTCTATTATCTGCTGTAATGTACTGTAAATTAGTAAAATCCTGTATATGCTATTTTGTGTTCAATATTGTGAGCTTCTGTGTATCAGTCAATAAATTTCCAGTTTTCATGTTGTCTTAACATTCACAAATGTATGCAGATTTCTTCCCTCTCATGTATAAAAGAGTAACAAACTTCTTTTTCTTCTTATGCAAAAACAAAATCAATCTCACCTAACTTATCCTGAAAGGGTTGAGGAGACAGAAGGAAATTATTCTTCATCCCTAACGGGTAAGATATCTCTGCCATTCTTCTTCACAACCACCTTTGTCGTATTATACCAATATCAGTCAGTCAGTTCGCAGAAAGCCTTTATTTTTAAACTTTGTAGAACTTAAATAATGTGTCAAAAGAATTTATAAAATATAAAACATTTCTGTTCAGCCACACCTGAAGGCAAGCATGTGCAGTGTACGCTGTCAGTTCATGACCTCCACCTGCTTCTATTTTTCTGCACATATATACATTTTACCTAGTTACAGGAAACACGTTCTGACTCTGACTTTCATCCTTCACTGTCTGCCCTTTCCTTCATTACCTGAACCTTAGACTTTGCCACAGTATTGTGAACAGTCCATCTGAAGTCCTAGTTGGCGCTAGCAGGGCAGGTGGGGGTTCTGTGCAGAGCTGTCCACACCAGTGAGCTGCTACTTTCCAACAACCTCTGCACATCGGGGACAGAGTGTATCTGAAGACTGGGCTGTGTACTTCCAACAACGAGGGCATTTTCCTTTGGTTGTTGGCATGACAACCACTTTATATGAGGACTCTTCACGAATGTCACCACCTGTAAGGAAAGAATTCATGGAAAGTTTTTGACAGGCCACTCACTTGCTGGCCTTAGTCCTTAACTAGATTTGCAGGAGCTCCTTCAAAGTTCACTCCTTCCTGCCCAGGGGAGGCTGTGGGATGCAGCTCCCGTCACATCACTGACTAGGACATTGCGCTGCACAGTATGACTGTTGGGGAGACTGGAAAGCTACCTGAGACAGTATCTGGTTATTCTCAAAGTCACAGAGTTTGTACTAGGGCAGAGCAGGCCTCTCGCTCTTAATCTGGGCAGGATTCAGATAAACTACTTAATTACCAGTTATAAAAAAATCAAATTATAGTGACAACACAGTGTCCCCACTTAAAGCTTGATTTTGTCACAAACAAATTACACTTAATGCACTTAACATAGGAATGAAAGCAAATTATTTTATCAGTGTGATGTCTTAAGTCATAGCACAAAGATAGAATCTTGACATTTTAAAAAGCAAGTTAAACCAGAAACTAGGCCAGTCACTGCTGCCAGGCCTCAAATTTAAAGTGATGCCTCCAAATCGACCTCCTACCTCCTGCTGGTGCCTAGAGCTATTATGAAAAACACAGGCAGCATCACTTTCCCCAGATATCTACATGTTGCTATCAGCATCACTTTGCCTTCACTTCCACTCAAGAAATGAGTCAGGTTGAGAATAACACCCCATCAACTACAGAAACACTGTTTTTGAGAAAGTTCAATAAAACAACCTCATTAAAAATGGCTAATCATTTAATTTGGGGTGTGCACAGTGTATTTTAGAATCAACATGGAAGAGCAGCAGGGCTGGGCAGTACTAGCACATCACCAACCAGAGAAGCCAAATGGAGTGAGGCCACCAACTTCAAACATAGTGATATTCAGTCCCAAGACAAGAAGGAACATCTCTTCTACCCTACCCGGTCATTCCCGAGACTATCAGGTAAGACTCCATGAGCTGCTTTAGAAAGTTGACCACTGTCTCAATCTTTGTGCAATGACTTAAGACATCAGACTGATAACATGATGTCTAAACACCTGCTTTAGAACACATGAAGTCCACTGGAAAGTTGAGCAGGACCTGTCATTACCACAAGTTCTCCAGGAAACACCTGAAGAATACTCTTCCCTACCTCCTCACCTTCTAAGTTGATTAGGAATGTCCCTTTAAGCTCAATTGCATCTGCAGGCAGTGCTCGTGGTTCCTGAGAAAGCAAAGTTGTCTGGGAAGCCATCATCAGTTCATTCAACTGAGAGGTGCTAGAAGTCTCCTCAGCTTGCAGCATCTGGGCACAAGCAGTTAAAAGTTACCCACTGAACTACCATAAACTGGGGTTATAGAAACAGACATTGTGAATTCTTGTGGTTAGCAAGCAACGCTCCTGGGCCCGTACTATTAAATATGTCAATTCTCACTATAAAAGTTTTTTTTTTAAGATTTATTTATGCATACAGAACTGGGATACAGGCCAGAGGTGGTAAGAGGCTTCATCAGAGACAGAGTGGGGAGCAGAACAGGCAGATCAACAAGGTACACTGCTGAGGGGAGCAATGGGTGGGCCAGGAGAGGTCTACCACACTATGTAGATCACCTCAGGGGCAGGCGGGGATCAAACTCATGCTGAAGTAGCTTTAGCTTCTTAATGCAGTTTTTTCATCTGCTACACCACCAGGGAGGGCCTACTATAAAAGGTTTTAAGTGAAAATGTCCAACAGTAATGACTATAAAAGTGCTGTGTCAGGTATGTCCGATTTGCTAAATGCTAAGTTTTCATTATTTCTCAATACAACACACTGTTGGTTGTCCACACTTCACTAAGAGATGGGCCCAGAGAAATGAAGCTATTCAGGTTCCTCACCAACAGCTGGGGGAGCTGCAGTCTAGCCCCTCAAGCCCATCCTGACCCACTTCCTGCTTGCTGCACTAGAGAGGTGTGGAGATGCTATCTGAGCAAGCACACTGGTAGGTGAAGCTGCACAAGACACAGAACTCTCAAGCTCACTGATTTGAGTGTTTGCCGCTAACACTTATGTATTTTTCACTACAGTTTTAATCTTCAAAATGAGTATGAGCTAAGTAATGTAGACAGTTCTTCCAAGCAGTTCATGGGAAACTGGAGATTCAACAAGATTACTTTGGTTTTAACCAACTCATGCAATTAGTAATCAAGACTGCCTCTGACAGCTACTTTGAGATATAAAACATGAATATATTTTCTCTATGTTTTATACAAAGTATTTCTTCTCAATATGGATGATGCAAACAAGCTGTATTCTTTTCAGTTTATTACTTGGAAATAAGAAGTCAAATGGACGTGACATGTAGGGAAGCAGTGATCTACGAGGTCCTAGTTCCAAAGGTCCTCACTTTGCTCAAACAATGAAAAGGCCAGAACTTACCAATTTGGACATTCTGAAATGTGACTATCATGTCAAAATGCCCTGTGATGTGATCAATAACCTCATACCTACCAGCTATTTTAAGTCTCAACTCTTACCAACCAGATGCAAAATTCATTTTTTTTAAACTAGTAGAGCTTTTAAAATGTCTACTGCCAATTTTCTTTTGAAGCTCTAAAACTGAGAGCTTCAAGAGAAGCTCAAGAGAGAATTTTTGAGTGAAATGTTAAGTGAGAAGCCAATCTTACCAAATTGGTAAGCGCTGGCCTTTTCATTGTTTGAGCAAAGTGAGGACCTTTGGAACTAGGACCTCGTGGATCACTGCTTCCCTACATGTCACGTCCATTTGACTTCTTATTTCCAAGAGAAGCTCAAGAGAGAATTTTTGAGTGAAATGTTAAGTGAGAAGCCAATCTGATCAATCAACTGCTAAGAATTCTAAGAAGAAATTTTGATGGCTCTTTTAGAAATAAAGTAGATGACTAACTTGCTGGAGCAATTAAATTTCTCCACATCTCATGAGGAAAAGGTGGAACAAATCCTTTGGTTTATTCTGAATATGGTCCAGATGGACAAAATTTTCAGAAAGTCAGTTCCTTACTACCAAACACCCCCTTTGTATGTCTTCTGATATTACTGCTAGGAGTTTCTATGTCACCACTATGCTAAGCAGTCCTGAGAGCTTGCACTGCTGTACAACTTTATTACACCTTCCTGGTCCCAGCTTGTAAATAGCACCAGAGTACGTGTGTTTTGGAAGGGAAAGGAGCACTGAGAAGCAGAACACAAGGAATCAGTGTCAGAAGTATCAGAAGACAGAAATACTGATTTCCATATTGAAGAAAAATCGTACACAAGGATTTTTAACAACAAATTTCAGTTGCAGTTGTGTCATACTAACACCAGTTCCAAGGGCACCAACTACTGCTCACCTCTATTATCTCAAAAAGCAGCCCAGGCTCAATCACAATGATAACTTCGTACTCAGCTGCGTTCTTGCCAGGGATGCTTCCGAGGAAGGAGTCCCGCATTGCACACGCACTCTCCATGGCCTCCTCCAAGCCCGGCTTCTTCCAAATGGAGCTTGTGCGGATCCACCCAGTACGGAACACACTCTTGGGCTCTTAAAAAAAGGAAACACATTGACATGGATTCTAATCTGTAATAAACCAGTAATCACCAAATACTTTCTATCCATGGGAAGTCAGAAGTTTTATTTATAGTAATCATGTGACAAAAGATCATGGAGCCACCCTAACTGCCATCAGCATTGGGAAATAATTATGTTACATTTAAGAAGAATAAACTACAGAGATCACAAGGCGAAAAGAAGCCTCCCAATACCTTCTAGATAGAAAGATGAAGTTTCTTTTTAAAACGTCTGTAGTTTTTTATTTTCTGTAATTTTAATCAGAGAGAGTAAACTATTAATAAAGTTACTTTTTTAAAAGAGGTAATTTTAATAATGGATATGATTAATTTGAATAACATTTTTTAAAATATTAAAAGACACATGTTACTTTTGGAGGCACTATGTTTTAATGAGACCAAAAATACACAGGTATTTAATGGCAATTTCTCAATGTAGCCAAGCTGCTACTATACTATATTTCACTGTAAGGTGGCCCAAGGGCCATTCTGAATCTGCAGTCAGGGCCAGAAACTACAGAATGGTCTCAAGCAGCAGGCCACAGAGCACTCACCGTGGATGAATAAGGACCTCTTGATATGAAGTAGATGACACTGGAAGTTGTATCCTTGTCAGGAACTTTTCACTTAGAGAAAAAATCAAGTATCCTTACCTTTGATATAAGGTATGTGCTGGAACACCTCTTCAGCCAGGTGAGGAAGAATGGGAGCAAAAGAACGAACGATCACATCCAAAATCTCAGCTAGTACAGTCTGACAAGAGCGTCTCTTGGGCTCATCTGCATTTTCACAGTAAAGCCTAGTAAAGAAAAACCAGTTTCAGCAGTTGACATACAACTACTTG